GCCTTCATGTTAATGGGGGCCAGCATTCAGACTGGGAGGGCAGATTGGGATGGGAGGGGGTGGTATTTGACCGACACTTTAAAATACGGTCTGTGTTTTGTGTGCAGGAACAGTTCCTAGTCCCGGATCACACTATCAAAGACATCAGCGGTGCTTCCTTTGCTGGTTTCTATTACATCTGCTTCCAGAAGTCGGCAGCATCTATAGAGGGCTATTACTACCATAGGAGTTCAGAATGGTAAGGAAGCTGCCTTCCTCCTGCGGGCTAACGCCGAGCTCCTACTCCTCAAACCAAGCAGTGACTCCTTTCCTGCTGTCTGCAGCCTTGGGAGTGTCCAGGCACTTCCCTGGGCGGGAAGGAGGTCCAGGAGGCGGCTGGGCCTGGGGGGCGGAAGGGAGGAGGTGTGTGCTGTGCTTGGCCACTGCGGGCTGGCGTCAAGTGCTGCCCCTTTTTCAGGGCTGGGGATAATTGGGCGCAGGGGAGAGAGGAAGTTTGGAGATGCGCCGTGGCACAGCTCCCTCGGTTTGTGCTTTGCTCAGCAATTCAGGCTTGGAGCTTCAGGAGTGTCGGAGGCGAGAGGGAGCGCAGTGCTTTCCCACACATAACAGCTTGGCTGCTGCTCCTGTCAGGCAGAAGCCTTGTTAGGACAGTGTTTGTAGTCCAAGGTCCTTGGAGTGTTGCTGTAAGACAGAGTTAATTGGTTGGATTCTTGTTAGAGCCATCTGACAAGGAGCTGTGGAGAGCGCTCTTCCCTCTGACAGCCTTGGATGTTCATCACGTGCAGCAAGGGAATCTGTAGGGTGGCTGGAAACTCTCAGGGGGAGGGAAGGTACCTGGGAGGCTTTCAGACACACGCCCTCAAGCTGAGCTTTGAAAGACCCGAATCCAGTTTGCAGCTGTAGCAAATATGGTTTGAACATGAAAGTTGTTGAATTTCAAAAGTTGTCCAAAAGCCGGTCGGCCCACCTCAAACACAGCTTGGCTGCAGGTAGCTCAGAGGCACGGGAATGGGAGTGAGGAACGGTGCCGAGTCCTCCTGGGGTTTTGGCACCAGGGGACGTGGGTGTTGGGTGCCTGAGCACCTCTGAGACCCTAAGGGGGAAGAGAAGAGCCAGCCACCAGGGTTTCTGCTCCTGCCAAGCCGGAGGCGTTGTGCTGGGGGAGTTCTGATACTGCATGCAATCCTCTCGTCCATCTTTTCCCTCTCTCCCAGGTATCAGTCATTGAATTTAACTCACGTTCCTGAGCACAGCGCTCCTATCTACGAATTCCGATGACAGCTGTCCAGAACTGATACCGCCCAGAAGCAAACCGGGCAGGAGAGCATGGCCTGCCAGGAGAACTGTGTCCCTGTCGGAGCACGGGAATGCACGCTTCTCTCCTGCCCCTCGGACTCGCGAGAGAGAGCCTGAATGTTAACCCACCCAGCCCAAGGAGCGTGGCTGCTGGAGCTTGATTCTCCCTCCTGTCGAGTGGCGATTTGATCTTTAATCTGGTTTTAAGCTACCTTTAAATGCACTTTCTTATTGCACAGCTAGTTTCTCTATCACTGAAATTCCTCCTGGCCTTCCTCTGGAAGCTGTTTCTCAGTAGCTGGAATCAGTGGTCTGTCCTCCGAGTAATAAGAAAATATAAGCTCAGTGCTTATATTTTCCTTGTTACAACCTGATAGGGGTTGAAATCGCCAGGACTCGGGTTTGGTTGCCCAGGTTGCCAGCTCTGATGCTCCCAGAGCCGTGTCCCGCGTGTGAGGCTCCGTCCAGCCGCGGGGTCTGTTGGGGGAGCGTTGGCTGAGACAGAGAAGGCCTGAAGGAGCCTTTGCTTCATGCCAGCTAACGAGGTTAGCTGGAGCTTCAGATCTTTCAGGAACGCCGGCCCTTTGGAGCTGGGAGCTGTTCCGGTGTCTGGATATGCCACTGGGATTTAAGTTGACGAACGGACTTCCAGGCTCTCAGTAAAGTGGATCTGAACTCTGCTTATAGGTGTATATTTGCTCTTTACTTAAGTTAAGGGTAAAAAAAAAAAAAAGACCAAAAAAAAAAGGACTTTTATTAAGAAATATTTTTATGGTTCCTTTTCCCAAGGACCCTCTGGCAAATGCACACGTACCCGCCTACATTTTACCGTTTTCACATTGAAAACCGGGAATGTCCGCGTTGGTTTTTATATCCGTGTACGTAACCAGCCGGCCGCTCCGGGAGAGTTAACCCGAGGGCAGGCGATGAGCGGCGGCGGGGGGACAGCGCCCGG